ATAAAATTATTCCATTGAAATCTGTTTTATTCGAAATTTAGAGGTACATACATCATTATCATTTTCAGGCAAATTAATTCAAAATCAGCAGATTTCAATTATATAGAAAAATTGACAATACTTTATGGTATGAAAAAATTAAGTTTCTTACGTTTAATGGTTTTTAATAAACAAATCATTGGCGATCAATTGTAGAGTCGGTGAATTTTCCGTTCGAAGAATTGCTAGTCAGTGAATTTTACGTCGGTGAATTGCAGTCGGTGAAATTTCCTAGATCCCATAAATTTGACGGTGAATTCGTCGTGTGGTCTCATTGAGACGTTCAGTACTGTACTCAGAACGAACAGTTCATTAATATACAAATAGTGAACTTCTGCAGACGGAGAGTCAAACTCTTGACCGCACGATGCGCGCTGAATTAATAAGTTCTCGCAGGAAGAAAAATGGACCCATAAAATTAAACACTAAATTTCAGAAATTCATTACTTTCACAGAAGTTTCACAATGTCGTAACGGAGAGCTTCTCACAGATATATAACTTGCTGGGTTGGATATTACAGTTAATCGAGATGACCACAGTCCAATCATATAGAATCAAACGCGCAAGGCAGGACTGGACGTTGATAACGACTATCGATCAGCGATGAAATGCCTCGCGCCGAATCGTCATAGACCACTTCAGACACTTCAAGGCACGGGAGTTTCTGTACTGCAAGCTCTAAAAAATCTAACTGTCCCTGATTTAATTTTTTATACTTTAACATTTTACAGGAGGCAGGTCAACATGAAGTAAAATCTGATCAAGGGGTCATTCGTTCTACACCACATCTGGGCGTACGAACAAATCATATCTATGCGGTAGCACATAAAGAGTACCAACGTATGAAATATCGTTCGTGATACGGGCGAGGTGGCTCTAGCGGGCAAAATAATGCGATGTGCGTCTAACACTGCAGGTCCTCGAATACAATGTAGCCGTAACCTGCAACAATGACATCCTTAGGTAACAACAAAAAAATTGGCGGTGAAATATGATGCGCATTCAGATTCTGAGCATCTTCATCATCATCTCCGCTTCTCCTATCCGGTCGAAGAGGCAAATGAGTCTGACCATCCAAACTTCCCGATCTCTGCCAGATCCATGTTTGCATCAAGTTATTCTAGGACGTCCTCTGGGACTTCTGACGGTAGGTACGGCAACAAACAGCAGATCGGTCTTCCCTACTGGACACATTCGTAACACGCGCCCAAACCATAGCAGCTGTGACTTCTCAATCTGGAAAAGCAGAGGCTGCACACCAACGACCTACCGGACGTCAGTATTCCGGACCATATCGAGACGCGCACAACCAGC